TTTGGAATCAATCAAATGAGTGATCCACAAAAGAGTTTTATTTCAAAATGGGATATTAAACCGTCCGGTGAATTTAGCCGATTAGTTATTCAATCGGTGTCAGTTAACAATGAATTAAAGACATTTGGAGGAGATTCTTGGAGAATTCACCTCTATGGACCATCATCTTTAGCTCCAACAGTGATCGACCTTAATAACGGAAGCTATGAGGTTTTATTTCTTATCCTCGAGGATGGTGAATACGAAGCAAAGATCTTCCTGGATTACAGTCTCTGTCATGGTTTCAAAGACCCACCTCCGCATTGGTTTAAAAAAGGTAATAAACGGATGACCAGTGTTTTATGCACATTACCCTGCATGGGATTTTCGCACTCGTTATTTTAAAGGGGCTCTGTCAGACTGTGAGTTTGCGCACTGAGCTCGTTAATTTTGACACTAATCAGGTGTTTGCTGGTGTCTACCCTGTTGATCAATCAGAACATCTTTATCTAAGATCTGCCATAGAAAAACTCACACTCAATGATGCCAGTGTCTCAGTTCACCCAGATAGTTGGTATGAATAAAAAAATGGAATTCTGTGAATCATTTTTATCATGTGAATAGTCAATTTTATTGATGGAATCAATGTGGTTTGATGTATTAGCATTGGAATCTGATGTTTGATCACATTTCTATGAGCACAGAATGTTATACACAATGACATATTTTTTGTGCTATTTGCATACGTCACTTTGTTAGTTGATCATACTTTTTGTACGTAACAATCAAGTCATAGAGGCTGCCTTGTAATCCTTTAACTCCTAAGAGTGACTACCATCTAATTTTCACTCACAATTTCACCTCTAAATTGAACATTACCTGTAAGTTCATTGCTGTTACCAGATGTAATATTACCAAAAAGTTTTGTGACTGATGAGAACTTCCTGAAGAGCATATGGCCCCTTTTTCAATGATGGAAATATGGTTTTCAGCAGAAAAATTTTTTCTTTCCCGTTGTACCTTACAGTCTGGCTCTGGGTCAGGGATGGCGTCTAGGTTTTCTTGGCTTGTTACACATGGATGTCTTCAAACAGCGATTGGAGCAGGTTTGTATGACTGGTATTGGGGGCATCAAAATTGATTGATTGTACCCCCACCCTTAGGGAATAGAAAAAGTGTCTTTCCCAACTTTGCCCATCAACTTGTCCATTTAATCTGTGAACAACACTTAACTTAATAACTGCCATAACTCCTATGATCGTAATGTTTTTAGTCATCACTGAGTTTTAAACCTTTTTTCATTTTAGGAATATGATGCAAGCATTATTATTACTGCTCCAAATGTTCCTTACAAAGGTGCATGTAATAACTAGTTTATTATTTACTACAAAGGATAGAATGGTATTCAGGTCGCATGATAGCTATTGGTAAACCCTGTAATCAATATCATTCAATAAAGATGATGTTTGGTATCAAGATCTCTGAATAAACGCGAGTCCACTAACCCATGCGTAGAGAATGACAAATACTCCATTGGGTGAATGGAAATTAATCGAAATTCGTGTTTAGAGATGAACTAGGAGAGGTGATATTTGCAAATTATTCTTGATTTTTTCCAATTTTTTACAGCAATTTTGAAAAAGAACGATGTTGAGGTGGAGATTCTGAACCCTTTGGAGGTAAGCTGTTGTTTGATACTAACTAAACTGAAAATGTATGTATCTTAGTTTTCTTGTTTATAAATAACTTGGGGAGGCTTTGTTATTTTGTTGCTGTTTTTTGTTAACTTGGTAGCCCGCTTTCATGTATTAAATGAGTTCCGTGTATTGAATCATTTCTGTTTGTAGCTTCCAGGGCCCTCTCAGGTACATGCATATTTGGAGCCTTATGTAATGGGTACGATTGTGTTCCCTGAGGAGTGTATGGGCAAAATGTTGAGTCTTTGCGAGGTGAGCAGTAGAGGGAAGATTATTTGCATAATATGTCTTGATTTCCCCGTCCCTCCCCTTATGGGATGTTATTCCCGTTGTCTTAGCACGTGTTACCGTCTCTCCCCTCCCTTGAACAGTCTGGTAGTGCTAATTTGTCTCTCTCTTGCAATACTGGGTGGAAAGAAGCTTCGAATGTGAAGTGCCTTGCATTGAACTGTTTTTTTTTTTTTCATCCTTTTCGCTTTCAGAATAGGCGCGGTGAGCAGCAAGAAGTAATTTACATCGACGAGTCACGTGTCATGTTGAAATACTTACTTCCGTTGAACGAAGTTATTGTGGATTTCTATGATGATCTCAAATCCCAGTCATCTGGCTATGCAAGGTTTGTCTTGGATTTTGAACAGTGTTGTTATGGATACTCTTGTGTAAAAGGAAAACCGCGGGATAAGTGGCTGAAAACTGATTTTTGGTGTTCTTCCTTTTAATTTATTTTAGCTTTGATTATGAAGATGTTGGATATAGAGAAACAAACGTTGTTCGGGTAGGGCTAAGCTTGAATTTTACCCATTGGATGTTTTTTAGATCTTGCTAAAAGTAGTCAACTATTTAGCGGTGCACGATTCCTTATTCAAAACTGATAATTTTTTTTTTTCACGCCGGCCGAGGGAAGTTGTAAGAAATTTTTTCCAAGATACAATTTTTTGGAAATATTTTTTGGTTGTTTGTTCAGATGGATATCCTAATAAACGGCTATGCTGTTGACGCCCTAAGCTGTATAGTTCATGGAGACAAAGCTCTTCAGTCAGGTCGGTCCATGTGCGCGAAACTTAAGGACGTCATACCAAGGTGGGTGTTGTTGCTATGGGGACATGCATTTGGCCCTCTTTTATTATACAAGCCGTTTATTGCTTATAGCCAGAAATTGATTGTGATGGTGACCATTAGATCCCAGAGGATTCTGTTTAGCTTTTTTTCGCGCTTGCGCTCACAGTTTCTCGCTTGGTAAGGGATGACGTGCCTTCACAGATGTTTCTGCGCCTGCCATCATGTGAACTTGAGGTTTTGATTGGTTAATCCTGTCAGTGTTGTCGTTGCAGCGATTCAATGTAAGGTGTGATTTAGCGCGCATGTCACTCATCACAGATCCTATTTGGTAGTGATCGGAAGTTTATATTCTATCAATTGATGCTCTCTTTTATGACACAGGCAACTATTCGAAATTGTTATTCAAGCCTCAGTTAGAGGAAAAATCACATCGAGAGAAACGTAAGTTCCGTGGTCTTAAATGACTGTTTACTGAGCTACATCGGTACCGTTATGCTTTTCTGAAAGGCATTACTGATTATGTTAGATACATCAATCTTCTATTTTCCCTTTCTCCAAGTATTAAGCCCTTAAGAAAGGATGTTACTGCAAAATGCGTAAGTACTCACATTTGATTAATATTTCTAACAGTTTGAACTCTTAAACTTGTTTTTAGCTCTTTTCGATTAGCTTGTTTGTTTTTTCTTACTGATGTAAGTACAGAATTTTTTTTTCTTTCCAGTATGGTGGTGATGTGACAAGGAAAATGAAACTACTTCGGCAGCAAAAGGAAGGAAAAAAGAAGATGAAAAGGATAGGAAAAGTAGACATACCACACGAAGCATTTCTGAGTGTTTTAAAAAGATGACAACGACCTATCGACACTTGATTGGCTGAAAATACCTTTTCTTTGACATATCTCTGCAGGGATTTTCGTTCGGTCTGTGGTGGATCCTAAAGACAATAACTCGACCTGATGGGTAATCTTTTGTATGAAACTAATTAAAACAAAAATTAAAAGACAAAAAGACTTACTCACACTGTGATCTCTTCAACTCGTTTGTTTTGTTGCCAACTCTTGTTAGTCAGGGATTTAACACGCACTTTGATGTTGTCTTTAGCCGCACATCCAGACATTTTCCGCTTGCGCGGTAACGCCTTGAGTGACTTTTCTATGGAAGCCCAAGTAATAAAAGATTTTTGGCACTAAAGAGGTGCTATTAGTTTGAAACATGTGCCTGTTTCATAAATGAAGGGCCTAATATTTCAATTCTTTTCAATTCTTTTCAATTCATGCAAACTACGTGTAGTCTTCCTGGCCTTTGACAACAGTTTTAAAATAATTCAATTTAAGCTCAAAGGCAACACCAATAAGGTCAATTTGCATGAACAAAAAGACTCATAATTATTTCCGCTCTGCTATCTTTAAAGAGCTCCATGTACGTGAACGTCGACTATTAAATTCTCAACCCCGAATAGTGTATTTCTAGTGTTTTGATTGGTTCACTCAACTCAGCTTTCCGAGTCTCCTTATATGGAATTGCATAGCGTAAACTGTTGCGGAGATAAAAGAAGCTCCAAATATTTAAACATTCAGAACTTAATTCAATTTAATAATTAACAATTATCCCATTCGTGCTCGATGGATACGAGATTGGTTCTAGCCAACTCACAAGCCCATGGCCCCTATTTGGCAATTTACCATATCATATCAAACGCGCGCTCAAGGAATAATTACTTTTACCCATTGTCTAACGCGTGATGATATAGCTGCAAAGGTTTACCGAAAACCGAATTCGACAGCTTTCTGCAAGGTTGTGAGGTTGAGTATTGTGCAGGTAGGTGAATAGTATAGGACGGCAACCTGTTCGTCTGTAAACCTTACCACCCGCGAAAGACACCAATCCTCAAAGACAAAAGAAAGTTGCTCCATCGATAAAGCTAGCCTTCATACGTTCTTATCTTATAGTGTTCCATTGTGGACCAGGATATGACATGCCCCGAAGTATTGTAAAATACTTCTTGGTGCTGTGTTTTGGCGTAGCGTTTGCGACTTTAGTGTTGATTTTTGATCGCTTATTTGTTGCATTCAGTGGTCTTCACAGCTTTGATTTGGCTGATGAGTCGGAGACTTACTACGCAAGTAAAAACTCAGAGAAGAATTTCACTCTGATAAACACCAGAAACTTGGTCGACAAGGCTCTCCCTGACACTTCCGTTCGCTCGGAGCGGCTTGAGACTAAACAGCGCAGGGAAACAAGTGAATTGTTTTTGAAAACAAATGAGCTGGCGACCGCAAACACAGAAATCCGGCGGAAGCTCCCTGAGGAACAAGCGCAGGATAATTTTAAACATGACTGGTGTCGAATGCAGCGAGCTCGTTTAGATTGGAAAGATGTTCTCCGTCCATGTTGGAATTCAACTGTTTGGGAGGCGCCAGGCAGATTTGGAATCAATCAAATGAGTGATCCACAAAAGAGTTTTATTTCAAAATGGGATATTAAACCGTCCGGTGAATTTAGCCGATTAGTTATTCAATCGGTGTCAGTTAACAATGAATTAAAGACATTTGGAGGAGATTCTTGGAGAATTCACCTCTATGGACCATCATCTTTAGCTCCAACAGTGATCGACCTTAATAACGGAAGCTATGAGGTTTTATTTCTTATCCTCGAGGATGGTGAATACGAAGCAAAGATCTTCCTGGATTACAGTCTCTGTCATGGTTTCAAAGACCCACCTCCGTATTGGTTTAAAAAAGGTAATAAACGGATGACGAGTGTTTTATGCACATTACCCTGCATGGGATTTTCGCACTCGTTATTTTAAAGGGGCTCTGTCAGACTGTGAGTTTGCGCACTGAGCTCTTTTAGTTTAACACTAATAGGTGCCAGGTCACTAATTATTCCCCACTTTAAATGACAGGCAACAGAGCGCGTGGCCTTAAAAGCCAAACTTCATACGTTGTTCTGTTCTCGTAACGTTGAGTTTTGATACAAACAAATATTCTTTGATTCCGAACAGGGGGGTGGAGGGAAGGGTAATCGTGTACTCTTACAACTGTGTATCAACTGCTGCAGCTACCCTCGGGTCATTCAACACTAAAGCTGGTGCGTGAGTAATATTTAAAGTGCACCTACACCCAAAAAATTTTTTTCGCTTAACGAAGTAAGCTTATTTTTTTTAGTATTTCTGCGCAAAAATTTTTTTATTTGCTCAAATCTTCAATTTTCTATGCCCAGTCAAAATACGGAAAATCGGCCGCCATCTTGCCCCACGACCGAGTTTAAAGAGGAATGGCTCTAGTGGGTAATGTGACGTCAAATCGAGAACACGAAAGTCTGC